CACACACACACACACACACACACACACAATCATCTGCTATCTTTAATGAGCCCCGTTCCTTCTACTCTCAGTGGAGCCCTCATCCTCTGTCACTTTAGTGTTAGTGGAGACGTTGTCTTTCACAGCACACTGCACACAGACAGGGGATGCTGACTGTGATGCACTCTCTGTTGAGAGAAAGAAACACCACCAGGATTTTAACGATGTGTGCTGGAGGAGAAACAGAGGTTGAGAGAGTGACTGAGAGAGAGAGAGAGAGAGAAATGAGAGGGAGAGAGAGAGAGAGAGAGAGAGAGAGAGAGAGAGAGAGAGAGAGAGAGAGAGAGAGAGAGAGAGAGAGAGAGAGAGAGAGAGAGAGAGAGAGAGAGAGAGAGAGAGAGAGAGAGAGAAAGACTAAATCTTCTGAATGTTGGTGGCTGTCATATAATGCAAAATATAAAATAAAATGTTTGAAGGAAAGAGAGGAATAAAGAGGGTAGGAAAGAGAGACAAGATGCAGAGAGAGATAGAGAGAGAGAGAATTACAGAAAGAGAGAGTGAGAGAGAGAGGCAAGAGGTAGAGAGAGAGCGAGAGAGATAGAGAAATAGAAATTGGGAGCGAGATGACAGTATCTGAGGGGGAGGTAATGACAGGGAGGTAGGTGATGGGTGAGAGCAGAGGGCAGTGAGGTTGGAGAGGGGTGAGAGCAGAGGGCAGTGAGGTAGGAGAGAGGAGAGGGCAGGGAGGTTGGAGAGGGGTGAGAGCAGAGGGCAGTGAGGTAGGAGAGAGGTGAGAGGAGAGGGCAAGGAGGTTGGAGAGGGGTGAGAGCAGAGGCCAGTGAGGTAGGAGAGGGGTGAGAGGAGAGGGCAGGGGAGGCACCAGGAGAACCAGGAGATAGATAGGGACCACAACACCCCTATCAGTATGGAAATAGAGGGGCTGAGCTATAAGTAGGGATTAAGGAGAATAAAAGCACCAAGGTTGTGATGGACAGCGGACAGAAGGAGGAGATTTTCATGATTATACTGTGGCCTTGAAACGTCTCTTCACTACAGCTTCAAAGGCATACTGTTCTCTCTCTGTGTGTGTATGTGTGTGTGTGTGTGTGTGTGTGTGTGTGTGTGTGTGTGTGTGTGTAGAATTTTGCTGCAGTGCAATGCAAGGACTGAACTCTCCCTGTGCGATATGAAAGACATAACTCCATACAAACTCAGAAGTTGACAGTTCCAAAGCATTAGATGTTTGTCTATTACAGTTTCAGATTATCATCATTCACATCCAGCAGTTCAGTCAACAGAAACACAACCAAACAGAAAGCTATTTTTCTCTCTATTACTGCCCTTCATCACAATAAAGCCTCCACAACGTGGATGAGTATTGATGGTAGAGCCTTCCCCATAGGAGTAGGATTTGATCGCTACTACATGTCACCATCACTTTAACTAATTACAATATTATAGCACCAAAGGAAATGAGTGGGGTGTTTCAGTGTGTGTGTGTTTGTGTGTACGTGTGTGCGTGCGTCTGCATGGGTGTGTTTTCATTTAACTCATCATTTGACAGCCTCTGAGCCTGATCAATGGATTTAGTGGTGTAATTAAAACTCAGTAGAGCTGTGAGAGACCGTGGCTGTGTCCCAAATGTGTCCCAAATGGCATCCTACTACCTAGTAGTGCTCTATATAAGGAATAGGGTGCCATTTGGGAGGCAGACTGTGAGAGTGTGAAAGTGTCTCCCTTTACCCTCCGCCCCCTTGCTCAACACCAGTCTCTCAAACTACTGATGCACCATGAGATTCCTCCCCTCTAATTAAACATAACGTTTTCTAACTGACAGGGCAACTTCTGAATAGGATGATAAATATTGTGAGTAAGCAGTTTCCTAATATGGGGAGTTGCTAACAGCTAATTTGCTGTTGTTGATGTTGTTGTGAAATTATTATAATTATTTGCGGTTACTTCATGTAACCGCATGAAGTAGGTTTCTTTTAGCATTTTAGGTCCCTTATGAACTACAGGAAGCAGTTTCCGAGCCAGAATGGTCCATAGGGCAGGAGCATTTCTCCTGTTTCTGTAGAGTGAAGCAGCTTGATGTACAGGTTCACCCTATTGACAGAACCAGAACGGCTGTAGGTTGCAGTGTACTGTACAGCCTTCGTACTACTTCCTCCCAATGATTTACCTTGAGAGAGGCAGGGGCAGAGGCAAAGTGTTTACATCTCAATGTCCCAAAAGGAGGCTAGAAACATTCTTTAAATAAATCAGGGCTCCATTAGAGTGTTGATGCCAGCCCTCCTGTCCCCAGTGGGATTATTGTGCTACCTAGTACCTACCTACCCTGACACATCTAGCCCAGTAATACCACACACACACACACACACACACATACACAGGTCTGAGTCTTATCCTCAGAGAGGTACAGTTGAAGTCGGAAGTTTACATCCACCTTAGCCAAATACATTTAAACTCAGTTTTTCACAATTCCTGACATTTAATCCTAGTAAAAATTCCATGTTTTAGGTCAGTTAGGATCACCACTTTATTTTAAGAATGTGAAATGTCAGAATAATAGTAGAGAGAATTATTTATTTCAGCTTTTATTTCTTTCATCACATTCCCAGTGGGTCAGAAGTTTACATACACTCAATTAGTATTTGGTAGCGTTGCCTTTAAATTGTTTAACTTGGGTCAAATGTTTCGGGTAGCCTTCCACAAGCTTCCCACAATAAGTTGGATGAATTTTGGCCCATTCCTCCTGACAGAGCTGGTGTAACTGAGTCAGGTTTGTAGGCCTCCTTACTCGCACACGCTTTTTCAGTTCTGCCCACAAATGTTCTATAGGATTGAGGTCAGGGCTTTGTGATGGCCACTCCAATACCTTGACTTTGTTGTCCTTAAGCAATTTTGCCACAACTTTGGAAGTATGCTTGGGGTCATTGTCCATTTGGAAGACCCATTTGCGACCAAGCTTTAACTTCCTGACTGATGTCTTGAGATGTTGCTTTAATATATCCACATAATTTTCTTTCCTCATGATGCCATCTATTTTGTGAAGTGCACCAGTCCCTCCTGCAGCAAAGCACCCCCACAGCATGATGCTGCCACCCCCGTGCTTCACGGTTGGGATGGTGTTCTTCGGCTTGAAAGCACCCCCCTTTTCCTCCAAACATAACGATGGTCATTATGGCCAAACAGTTCTATTTTTGTTTCATCAGACCAGAGGACATTTCTCCAAAAAGTACGATCTTTGTCCCCATGTGCAGTTACAGCCTTTCAGGTTATGTCGATATAGGACTTGTTTTACTGTGGATATAGATACTTTTGTACCTGTTTCCTTCAGCATCTTCACAAGGTCCTTTGCTGTTGTTCTGGGATTTATTTGCACTTTTTGCACCAAAGTGCGTTCATCTCTAGGAGACAGAAGGCGTCTCCTTCCTGAGCGGTATGACGGTTGCGTGGTCCCATGGTGTTTCTACTTGCGTACTATTGTTTGTACAGATGAACGTGGTACCTTCAGGCGTATGGAAATTGCTCCCAAGGATGAACCAGACTTGTGGAGGTCTACAATTTATTTTCTGTGGTCTTGGCTGATTTATTTTGATTTTCCCATGATGTCAAGCAAAGAGGCACTGAGTTTGAAGGTAGGCCTTGAAATACATCCACAGGTACACCTCCAATTGACTCAAATGATGTCAATTAGCCTATCAGAAGCTTCTAAAGCCATGACATCATTTTCTGGAATTTTCCAAGCTGTTTGAAGGCACAGTCAACTTAGTGTATGTAAACTTCTGACCCACTGGAATTGTGATACAGTGAATTATATGTGAAATAATCTGTCTGTAAACAATTGTTGGAAAAATTACTTGTGTCATGCACAAAGTAGATGTCCTAACCAACTTGCCAAAACTATAGTTTGTTAACAAGACATTTGTGGAGTGGTTGAAAACTAGTTTTAATGACTCCAACCTAAGTGTATGTAAACTTCCAACTTCAACTGTATGTGTGCAGTCTAAGGGTAACGTACCACACCAGAGGATTAATTATAATGACTTTGAAACGCAAGGCTTCGGGCAAGACTTGCCTATGTTTCTGTAAGGCAAACAGACAGTGAGAGCCTCAGTTCCACCACTGTGTGTGTGTGAGAGTGTGTATGTGCACGTATTCGTGTGCGTTCTCACTACAAACCAAATCAAATGTATTTGTCACATGCGCCGAATACAACAGGTGTAGACTTTACTGTGAAATGCTTACTTACGAGCCCTTTCCCAACAATGCAGTTAAAAAGAAAGAACATTTTGATAAATAAAAAAAGGAAATAGTAACACAATAAAATAACAAAAATGAGGCTATATACAAGGAGTACAGGTACCGAGTCAATGTGCAGGGGTACGAGGTAGTTGAGGTAATTTACGTAAAATGTACATGTAGGTAGGGGTAAAAGTGACTAGGCAATCACGATAGAAAATAAACAGAGTAGCAGCAGCGTATGGGAAGAGTGTGAAGGAGTGTGAAAGTGTGTCTATGTGTGAGTGTGTGTGGCGTCAATATGCATATGTGTGTGTGTGTGTGTTTTGTGTGTGTGAGCGTATGTAGTGTGTGTGTGTGGGTGTGTGTTGTGTGTGTGTATGTCTGTGTTGGAGTGTCAGTGTAGTATGTGTGAGTGTGTGGGTAGAGTCCAGTGAGTGTGGAAAGAGAAAAACTCAAATGCAAATAGTACAGGTAGCCATTTGATTAACTGTTCAGCAGTCTTATGGCTTGGGGGTAGAAGCTGTTCAGGAGCCTTTTGGTCCCAGACTTGGTGCTCCGGTACCACTTGCTGTGCGGTAGCAGAAAGAACAGTCTAAGTCAAGATCCTCTTAATGGTGCAGCTGTAGAACCAACCTACTGTACCTAGATTTCTCCAAATATTTCACACTGCCTTTGAAATGCAAAACCCAAAACCTGATGAATACATTCCGGCGATACAATTATAACAGAGAATACGCTGCTATCTCCTCCATAGTTTAATTGATTTTCTATTAACACTTTCCCACTGACTCACCTATGAGTGTGCAGCGTCCGTCCCCCAAGGGGTAGCGCTGGTAGCGCGGCATGGGCAAGGGGGGCAGCTTGTGGAAGAGGGGCTCCAGCAGGGGCTCTAGTCTGGAGGCAGAGGGGTCCGACGGGTAGAACAGGTTGAAGATCTGGGTGCAGGCAGGACGGAGTTGGCTCACTGAGGGACACAGGGATTAGGGAGTGCTTAGTCTGTGAACTTATACATTGTAAGGCTTGTGTGTGCAAATGTGTAATGTGATGTGTGGGAAAGGCAGCCCTCTACATACAGTGCCTTCGGAAACTATTCAGACCTCTTGACTATTTCCACATTTTGTTACGTTATAGCCTTATTCTAAAATGGATTAAATAAATAAACATCCTCAGCAATCTACACACAATACCGCATAATGACCAAGCAAAAACTATAAAAAAACTGTGAAAAATAAGTATTCAGACCCTTTGTTATGAGGCTCGAAATTGAGCTCAGGTGCATCCTGTTTCCATTGATCATCCTCGAGATGTTTCTACAACTTGATTGGAGTCCACCTGTGGTAAAGTCAATTGATTGGACGTGATTTGGAAAGGCATTGAAGGTCCCCAAGAACACAAGAAGTTTGGAACCACCAAGACTCTTCCTAGAGCTGACCACCCGGCCAAACTGAGCAATCGGGGGAGAAGGGCCTTGGTCAGGGAGGTGACCAAGAACCCGATGGTCACTCTGACAGAGCTCTAGAGTTCCTCTGTGGAGATGGGAGAACTTTCCAGAAGGACAACCACCTCTGCAGCACTCCACCAATCAGGCCTTTATGGTAGAGTGGCCAGACGGAAGCCACTCCTCAGTAAAAGGCACATGACAGCCCGCTTGGAGTTTGCCAAAAGGCACCTAAAGACTCTCAGACCATGAGAAACAAGATTCTCTGGTCTGATGAAACCAAGATTAAACCTGCCACCATCCCTACGGTGAAGCATGGTGGTGGCAGCATCATGCTGTGGGGATGTTTTTCAGCAGCAGGGACTGGGAGACTAGTCAGGATCGAGGGAAAGATGAACGGAGCAAAGTACAGAGATCCTTGATGAAAACCTGCTCCAGAGTGCTGAGGACCTCAGACTGGGGCAAAGGTTCACCTTCCAACAGGACAATGACCCTAAGCACACAGCCAAGACAACGCAGGAGTGGCTTCGGGACAAGTCTCTGAATGTCCTTGAGTTGCCCAGCCAGAGCCTTGACTTGAACCCGATCGAACGTCTCTGGAGAGACCTGAAAATAGCTGTGCAGCAACGCTGACAGAGCTTGAGAGGATCTGCAGAGAAGAATGGGAGAAACTCCCCAAATACAGGCGTGCCAAGCTTGTAGCTTCATACTCAAGAAGACTTGAGGCTGTAATCGCTGCTAAAGATGCTTCAACAAAGTACTGAGTAAAGGGTCCGAATACTTATGTAAATATGATATTTCTGTTTTTTATTTTTAATAAATTAGCAGTTTTGTCATTATGGGGTATTGTGTGTAGATTGATGAGGGGGAAAATTACATTTTAGAATAAGGCTGTAACTTATCAAAATGTGGAAAAAGTAAAGGGGTCTGAATACTTTCCGAAGGCACTTTCTAGGCATTTCTAGTCTAAAAAGGCTCTAAAAAGCTGCATCTGATGTATGTAGTAGAAATAGTGGTGTATTCAAGCAAAAGAAGTATGATGATCGATCTGGTCCATCAGCGAGGTAGCTAAACATTTTGGGGAAGGCGTTGCATCAGGGTCTGCCTAGACACAGAGGTGTGTGAGAAGTCTGTGTGTTTCTCTAACAACACCTACCCTGGACAGCAGGCAGTACGGTGCGTCTCATGGCCAGCACCAGGCCCAGTGGACAGCCCAGCAGGAAACATTCAGAGACCTCAAAGTCAAACCTCCCTGGGTTCAAAATCAGACTACTGCTGCTGCCGGGACGCAGGTCCACCCCCTCCTGCATCAGACTGGGAGAAGGGGAAGGAGGGAGGGAGGTGCAGAGGGAGGGATTGAAAGAGGGAGATTAAAGAGAAGAGGGAAGTAGACAGAATTTGTGTTTTATTTTTTATAAACCAAATCTACAAATGTTGCAATCCTTGTAGAAAAACAGGAAAATGGATGGGTATACCAAACAACAAGTCTACTACCTCGTTCTTAGTGGAACTATCATTTGTTTTTCAATAGGACAATGACCCAACACACCTCCAGGCTGTATAAGGGCTATTTTACCAAGCAGGAGAGTGATGGAGTGCTGCATCAGATGACCTGGCCTCCACAATCCCCCGACCTCAAATTGAGATGGTTTGGGATGAGTCGTACTGCAGAGTGAAGGAAAAGCAGCCAACAATGCTCAGCATATGTGGGAACTCTTCAAGACTGTTGGAAAAGCATTCCAGGTGAAGCTGGTTGAGACATTGCCAAGAGTGTGCAAAGCTGTCATCATGGCAAAGGGTGGCTATTTGAAGAATCTCAAATCCAGGCGATTACAGGCTACACTGAATAGGGAATAGGGTGCCATTTAGGATGTAGCCTAGGTTGCCAGGGATCTGGCTACTGTAGCCATATAAATAAAATGCTATTTCTATGACTGTAACTACGTGAGCCTCACTGGAGCATGTGATTTGGAATGGGAACACAGGTTGCTTGGTGCTGGTTAATTGGTAGCATGGTAGCGAGCTGGGACCTCCCCATCCACCCAGCTATAGCTACATTCACCTGCAGTAGTCAGTCTCCTACAGTATGCACACTGGCACTGCCACAAATAGGCTATTTATAGCCCACAGCAGGCCGACAGGCAGGCAGGGAGGCCGGCAAGGTAGACAGGCAGGCAGGCATATAGATAGACAGACAGAAAGGCAGGCAGGCAGACAAGCAGGCAGGTAGACAGGCAGGCAGGCAGACAGGCAAGCAGGCAGGTAGACAGGCAGGCAGGCAGGCAGGCAGACAAGCAGACAAGCAGGCAGGTAGACAGGCAGGCAGGCAGACAGACAAGCAGGCAGGTAGACAGGCAGGTAGACAGGCAGGCAGGCAGACAAGCAGACAAGCAGGCAGGTAGACAGGCAGGCAGGCAGAACAGGCCATTTTGCAGCAAATATTGATGACAGAGTGACACACATAGAAAGAGAACATCCCATGACAACCTGGCTAAGGGCTAGATAGCTACAGTACATCTGGGTTATCTCATCACACCACAGAGAACATAGCTAGATGGATAGACGTGCACTCATACACACATCATAAAAAATGTCACTAGAAATGTCTGCAATAAACATTGGGTATAGAACTGCTCTTGTCCTTCTAGACCTGTCTGCTGCCTTTGATACTGTGAACCATCAGATCCTCCTCTCCACCCTCTCCGAGCTGGGCATCTCCGGCGCGGCTCACTCCTGGATTGCATCCTACCTGACTGGTCGCTCCTACCAAGTGGCGTGGCGAGAAGCTGTCTCCGCACCACGTGCTCTCACCACTGGTGTCCCCCAGGGCTCAGTTCTAGGCCCTCTCCTTTTCTCCCTATACACCAAGTCACTTGGCTCTGTCATATCCTCACATGGCCTCTCCTATCATTGCTACGCTGACGATACACAACTAATCTTCTCCTTTCCCCCTTCTGATAACCAGGTGGCGAATCGCATCTCTGCATGTCTGGCAGACATATCAGTATGGATGACGGATCACCACCTCAAGCTGAACCCTGGCAAGACGGAGCTGCTCTTCCTCCCGGGGAAGGACTGCCCGTTCCATGATCTCGCCATCACGGTTGACAACTCCGTTGTGTCCTCCTCCCAGAGTGCGAAGAGCCTTGGCGTGACCCTGGACAACACCCTGTCGTTCTCCGCTAACATCAAGGCGGTGACCCGATCCTGCAGGTTCATGCTCTACAACATTCGGAGAGTACAACCCTGCCTTACACAGGAAGCGGCACAGGTCCTAATCCAGGCACTTGTCATCTCCCGTCTGGATTACTGCAACTCGCTGTTGGCTGGGCTCCCTGCCTGTGCCATTAAACCCCTACAACTCATCCAGAATGCCGCAGCCCGTCTGGTGTTCAACCTTCCCAAGTTCTCTCACGTCACCCCCCTCCTCCGCACACTCCACTGGCTTCCAGTTGAAGCTCGCATCCGTTACAAGACCATGGTGCTTGCCTATGGAGCAGTGAGGGGAACGGCACCTCCGTACCTTCAGGCTCTGATCAGTCCCTACACCCAAACGAGGGCATTGCGTTCATCCACCTCTGGCCTGCTGGCTCCCCTTCCTCTGCGGAAGCATAGTTCCCGCTCAGCCCAGTCAAAACTGTTCGCTGCTCTGGCACCCCAATGGTGGAACAAGCTCCCTCACGACGCCAGGACAGCGGAGTCACTCACCACCTTCCGGAGACATTTGAAACCCCACCTCTTTAAGGAATACCTGGGATAGGATAAAGTAATCCTTCTACCCCCCCCCCCCCCCCAAAAAAATAAATAAATAATAATAAATAAATTGTAAAGTGGTTATCCCACTGGCTATAGGGTGAATGCACCAATTTGTAAGTCGCTCTGGATAAGAGCGTCTGCTAAATGACGTAAATGTAATAAGAAAACATGTATTCAGATATGAATCTAATGACAGTGGTATATGCCAAGAATGTGATGGTAGGAGTATACTCTTACAGGATTTTCCCTAAGTCTGAGTATCTACAGTTTTTAACCTTTATCTTCATTCAATCGGAATGTCAACAGAGTGCTTGCCAAGAGAGGTAAAAGGCAAAATAATCCCCACTGTGTCTGAGGTGAGCAAAGGGAAAGTATACTGTTACTACCGCCTCATAATCCAACCACGGTGCATGAATTGCGCTCTTGGAGGTATTGTCCCCCCCTTTTGGAGGACAACAGAAATTGAAATTAGAGTTAGGGTTGAGCCGGGGTATGGAAGCTAGGGTTAGGGTTATGCCTAGGGTTGAACAGGGTGTGGACATGAAGCTACAGTATAGGGTTAGGGTTGTGGTTAAGGCTAGGTTTAGGGTTCAACAGGGGTGTGGACATGAAGCTTGGGTTAGGGTTGTGGTTAGAGTTAGCTTCCATCAGGGTGCTGTTCTCTGTCTACAGTACCTGCTGAAGAAGCTGTGTTGTCCAGTAGATGTGTCTCCATCATACGAGTCGCTCTGTTTCCTGCTGAAGGGCTGTCTGCCCTGGCTGTGTCCATCGCTGGGCAGGGCCGAGATATCAATGTTGCTCTTACTCAGCCTCTTACTGGAGCTGAGGCCCAGGCTGGGGCTGTGACAGGGGCTGTCCTCAGGGTTATCCTGTGTGGGAGGAAGACAGCGCGGGACACAAGCCTTCACGGTTCACTCACACTCAAATACCATAACTGTACACAAATGAGCAGCTCATTGCTAATCCCTCTCTCTCAGCACACATGAGAATGTGGGAGCTGGCTAGCTCCAGACCTGGGTTTAAATACATGTGTATTTGAGTATTTCTATTTGAAATATTTATTTTCTGTGTATGAGTATTTTTCAAATAATGTGGCCGAATCAACTACTTCTATTTGAAGTATTTGAAAGTATCTTCAAATAATTTCCTATAAATAGCCTATAATTTCAAACTACAGTATGTTCAATTACTTGTTTCTAAATACATTATTTCAAATACCCCTAGGACCAAACAGACCCAGGTTTAAATGCATGGAGTATTTAAATATTGGTATTTGAAAATACACTTGTCTGTGTATCTGAGTATTTTTCAAATACATACCAATACTTTCCATGTGTATTTCCAAATACATTCTAATATTCAACTACTTACTTTTAAATGTCTCTGAAAGTAATTGAAATACCATCAAAAGTATTTCAACCCACGTCTGCTAACTACAGAGAGACATTTATCCTGTTTTATGTTTGAGGTTACAGGAGAGTAGAAGTGGGAAAAGTAGATTTGAGGTTAGAGAGAGGAAATAGGAGAACAGACAGAGAGAGAGAGAGAGAGAGAGAGAGAGAGAGAGAGAGAGAGAGAGAGAGAGAGAGCAGAGAGGGGAGAGGGGAGAGAGGAGGGGCTTGGACAGAGAGAGCAGCCCAGGGGATCATGCAGTGCTAACTGGGTGTAAACAAACAGGAAAAGATAGGCCAGCTCAGGACGGAGAAAGAGAACACCAAGTAATTTCAAGGTCTTGGCCGGGATAGCATGGAATAGGAGAGATTGTCTGAGAGGAAAGCTTTCTGAACAGAGAAGACCTTAACACAATTCTAGATACACGCCATGGGGAGATAGTTGAATAGCACAGAAAGCACAAACTGAAATTGTAATGCCTCAATTCAAAATTCTCTTAGGGGCATCCAAAAGTGCAGTTTTACAGAACATGTTAGAGAGCTTGTTGATTGAGTTGTAATGTGTCATGCTCCTACCTTGAGGCTCTCAGTGCTGTTGTTCCTGCTGCTGCTGTGGCTGCTGTGCTGCCTCTGGCTGCTACTACTGCTGCTGCTGAAACACAGGGCGTCGAAGCACAGCACACCTCCCACACAGTCGCCCATCACACACACCTGGACAGGAACAGACACACACATGCACGCACACACAGATGCACATACAATACACACACACCGTTTTAGAAGACCTCGCTCCACTCAATCAATGTAGGCAGCCAAGCCTGCCCAGCCGGCAGATTTGGGCCCCGTGCCTGTTCAGATCCACAGTGGAATCTGAATGTCAATAACACACTTCATTAGGACTTACTCAGCCTGAGGGAACAACACATTTCTCCTTAATTGGTTTGACGTGCCACCATTGTACTTGGCTTCCTGACTTAGAATTGCATTATGACCACAAATCTTGTCAAAGTTGTGCAAGGAGAGGACGTTCAATTTAATAGAGTTTATACATTGTATGGTTCTGCCAAAAATGCGCTCTTGAAAATTACAGCGCTTAATTAGACCACAGGTCCTCATCAAATCAAATCAAATCAAATTGTATTTGCCACATGCGCCGAATACAACAGGTGTAGACATTACCGTGACATGCTTACTTACAGCCCTTAACCAACAATGCATTTATTTTTTAATTAAAAAGTAAAATAAAACAACAAAAAAGTGTTGAGAAAAAAAGAGCAGAAGTCAAATAAAATAACAGTAGGGAGGCTATATACAGGGGGGTACCGGTGCAGAGTCAATGTGCGGGGGCATCGGCTAGTTGAGGTAGTTGAGGTAGTTGAGGTAATATGTACATGTGGGTAGAGTTAAAGTGACAGTGCATAAATAATTAACAGAGTAGCAGCAGCGTAAAAAGATGTGGTGGGGATGGGGGGGCAGTGCAAATAGTCTGGGTAGCCATGATTAGCTGTTCAGGAGTCTTATGGTTTGGGGGTAGAAGCTGTTGAGAAGCCTTTTGGACCTAAACTTGGCGCTCCGGTACTGCTTGCCGTGCGGTAGCAGAGAGAACAGTCTATGACTAGGGTGGCTGGAGTCAATTTTGAGGTCCTTCCTCTGACATTGCCTGGTATAGAGGTCCTGGATGGCAGTGATGTACTGGGCCGTACGCACTATCCTCTGTAGTGCCTTGCGGTCGGAGGCCGAGTAGTTGCCATACCAGGCGGTGATGCAACTAGTCAGGATGCTCTCGATGGTGCAGCTGTAGAACTTTTTGAGGATCTGAGGACCCATGCCAAATCTTTTCAGTCTCCTGAGGGGGAATAGGCTTTGTCGTGCCATCTTCACGACTGTCTTGGTGTGTTTGGGAGGGGATTGTCCACAGGTGTGTGAAAGTGAATGGGGTCTGCAGACGGCATGTTAAAGCTGCAGGCCTCTGGCGACACTAGTCCCCACAGTGAACACAGAGGATTACCCAGCCCTCTCTATCCCAATCATCACTTCCTCTGGAAATCATTGGCTTCCATTAAATGGACTGCAGCACATTATTGGATTTGGCATGAGAGATTAGAGAGAATGAGATCTTCCTTTCTCTCGCTCTTCTTCTCCTCCCTTGTTCCTTACAGTATGACTCATCTCTAGTGAGTCAGTGTGATCTTGTGGGAGCCAGGGGGACACTTTAGAGGATGGACCCACCTGGCCAGTGAAGCCCTATATTGGGGGACACTTCAGGGGGACAGACCCACCTGGCCAGTGAAGCCCTATATTGGGCACACTTTAGAGGACGGACCCACCTGGCCAGTGAGGCCCTGTCTGGGGGGGACACTTTAGAGGATGGACCTACCTGGCCAGTGAAGCCCTGTCCGTCCTGGGACGCGAGGAAGCTGTGATAGACCTGGTTGGCGCGGGTGATGAGAGTTGCCACGGCGTCCTGATAGTGTGGCGCTGCGATGGCGAGGAGCGGGAGGGCTGCCAGGGGCAGGTGGTCAACGCTGCTGGACACACAGCTCTCGTCATAGCTGTACGGGTTCAGACTGGAGGGGACAGGAAGGAGGGGGACACACAAGAGGAAGTGAGTCATTTGTGTGCCTTGAACAACAATCAATTCAATTCAAAACGTTATTTATCCCAAAAGAATGACTTGTGTTGCCATAGTTTCGTGTCTTACATGGAGAATGGAATGTACCTATATGGTGAATGGAAATCCCTTTATCAACAGGCATTCATTCATCAAGCGTTTCCACAGCACAAAAATGTCATGGGAAATGGAATTTGGAAAAAGTATTGTAATTGTCTGCTTCTGATAATCCAAGGTTATTTTGGGAAAAAGAGCCAACAAAATGATTTGTTACCCTGGAATGTATAAACATGATGAATGAGACTGTGGTTATTCATATCTCTCTCTCGTTCTCTCGTTCTCTCGCTCTCTCATTCTCTCTCTCTCTTTCTTTTTCTCTCTCTCTCCCACTCTCTCTCGCTCCCACTCTCTCTCTCTCCCACTCTCTCTACAGGTGCAGGCCGGCAGACTCTCCCCTGCTGGCACAACCTCGCCTGTCTGATAGCACCCTACACTCTGTTTATCTGATGTGTGTGCATGTGTTCGTGCAAACGCACGCGTGTGTCTTTTTTCTGTGTGTGTGAATCACAGAGAGTGACAGTGCCCACGCCACAGTGTCCAAGACCCATTATCCAACAGTGTGGGGAACCAGTGAAGGATAGCCTTGCCCCTGCCAGCACTCCTTGAACAGCTGTATATATCGCCATCCATCAGCAGCTCAGATTATAGGAACTGGCCAACGCCGCTCCAAGGCTGAAATATGGGTGCAGTCATGGACAGGATGGGGTCTGTGTGGTATGAAGACTCCATCTGTAGAGGAGATGCCCTACCCAGCAGTATCTCTGTAGGACACACTACCAAAAGGAGCTTTCTCTCTCTCTCTCTCATCTCTCTCTCTCTCCTCTCTCTCTCTCTCTCTCTCTCTCTCTCTCTCTCTCTCTCTCTCTCTCTCTCTCTCTCTCTTCTCTCTCTCTCCAACAGATCCCCCTGTGTCTGTGGTGGGGAACATGGAGCATGAAACTGTGACACCACTATAATAACACACCTACAGTATACAGGTGATATGAACAGTATATAGGTTATCCATCGGTAGTCACTCTAAAGGGCCTGTGTAATGTACTGCTATAGCTGTGCTGTGTCCTGTCGTGTTAACAGAGCCCTGTAGAGCCCCCTGTTGCTGGCACAGGACACAGATATTACCTTAACACTGCTGGCCAGGACACACACATTACCATAACACCCCTGGACAGGCAGTTACATGGCCAGGACCAAGGTCAAAGAGCACCTAGACACAACACAACAAGACAACACAAAGCCACCCACCCAGCTTCTCTCGTCAGCCTGTTCTTTATTTATTTCTAGAGATGGATGATTAGTAATCTACTTATGCAAACACCTGCTGTTGGTATTGCTGTGGGATGTTTATTCTTCACCTGATATAGTGTCCAGGTAATGCTTTGTTACTGAGTTTTACTGTAATTGGATGTTGAATATACAGCTATGTTGTTGTTGGTTGAGTTAAAGTTGGGCTGGGAATCTAATTTCTTAGAAGAATGCAGAATGTGCTGTTTGTTTTGTAGAGAATCAATACAATTAATTAGAAGTAGAGAGACAGCAACATGTTCTTCCAGGTGTAAAATGATTACTCAACCAGGGGCTTCTTAATTAAGATCTTAATTGCAATAGGAATCAGGTTGGATTCTCCATATTCTCTCCAGATTCTCAATTAAGGGAACATGTTCAGCCCTAAAGATGCTCAAAAGAGGCAAAAGAGGCAAAAGAGGCAAAAAAGCCAATGAGGTTGACATAGCAACATCAATACATCAAACATTGTAAACACAATACCTGTCGCAGGAGGCTGACACTACTACTATCTTTCTCAGTATGCCACATCAACACCACAGAGCCTAATTAGAGCACAGTGGGTTTCAAGTCACTATGAGTGAGATGAGACATTCACACACACACACACACACACACACACACACACACACAGTCACACACTGCCACGACTTCCTCCGAAGCTGCCCCCTCTCCTTGTTCGGGCAGGCTTCGGCGTTCGTCGTCACCGGCCTTCTAGCCACTGCCACTCCTCTTCTCATCATTCCATTTGTTTTGTCTTGTCTATGACACACACCTAGTTCATATCCCCTCATTAGTACATGTATAAGTATTCCCTCTGCCCCCCTTGTCATTGTGGGTGATTGTTGAATATGAGATGAGAGTAGCTCGGTTGAGCTACGTGTACTTTGTATTGCAATTCTGCGTAACTCTGTATTCCGGAATAAACTCTGTATTCTGTGATTTATCCTCCTGCGCCTGACTCCTTCAAATCACCTCATACACACACACAGTCATGCGCACGCACGCACACACACGTTCTCATTAGGAGAGTGTTCATGCTAGCCGGGGTAGAAGCAGAGGATATACTGTGGTATACCATCAAAGCAGAACAGACCTTCAGAGAGCCTATTTGTAAGAAGACAAGGGCTCCTTGGCTACTCGCTCTCTGCCTCTGTGTAACATGTCTAACAAAAGCAGGCTTACAGTTGTGTTCAACCTACAGCGAGCCTGTCAGCCTATTCCTACAGTACATGAATGAACCTCTTCAATAATACAACTTAGAGAATTGTATCAAGGCCATTTACAAAGCTCTTATCAATGCATTGATGTCTGCTGTTTAAAAACAAAAAACTGTTAGAATCAGATTTGGGTTCCATCCCAAATGGCACCGTATTCCCTTTATATTGCGTTACTTTTGACCAGAGCTCTATGGGCCCAAGCAGTGCACTACATTGGGAATAGGGTGCCATTTGGGACAGAATGTCTATCATCCTTTCTCCCATCCATTTCTGTAGTGTCTGATTCTCCTCTACAGATGGAGTCTTCATACCACACAGACCCCATCCTGTCCATGACTGCACCCATATTTCAGCCTTGGAGCGGGAGAGACAGAGGGAGAGGGAGAGGAAGAGACAGAGGGAGAGACAGAGACAGAGACAGAGGGAGAGACAGAGGAAGACAGAGAGACAGAGGGAGAGACAGAGACAGAGACAGAGGGAGAGACAGAGGGAGAGGGAGAGGGAGAGACAGAGGGAGAGGGAGAGACAAAGGGAGACAAAGGGAGAGGGAGAGAGAGGGAGAGGGAGAGACAGAGGGAGAGACAGAGGGAGAGGGAGAGACAGAGGGAGACACAGAGGGAGAGACACAGGGAGAGGGAGAGACAGAGGGAGAGACAGAGGGAGAGAGAGGGAGGGGCAGAGGGAGAGACAGAGGGAGAGACAGAGGGAGAGACAGAGGGAGAGGGAGAGGGGAGAGGGAGAGGGAGAGGAGAGGGAGAGGGAGAGGGAGAGGGAGAGACAGAGGGAGAGGGAGAGACAGAGGGAGAGGGAGAGACAGAGGGAGGGGCAGAGGGAGAGACAGAGGGAGAGGGAGAGACAGAGGGAGAGACAGAGGGAGAGACAGAGGGAGGGAGAGACAAAGGGAGAGACAGAGGGAGAGACAGAGACAGAGGGAGAGGGAGAGACAGAGGGAGAGGGAGAGACAGCAGGGAGAGAAGGAGAGGGAGGACGAGAGGAGAGAAGAGGGACAGAGGGAGAGGGAGACAGAGGGAGAGACAGAGGGAGAGACAGAGGGAGAGACAGAGGGAGGGGACAGAGGGAGAGACAGAGGGAGAGACAGAGGGAGAGGGAGAGACAGAGGGAGAGACAGAGGGAGAGAGAGAGGGAGGGGCAGAGGGAGAGGCAGGGGGAGATGCAGAGGCACACCTCACGGTGAGCTTAATTAGGCAGAGATGTGCGGAGTAGACTGAGAACTGCTGCTCCCTGACTGTGTGTGCTGTGAATGGACAGAATAATGAGTGGTCTCCATCTCCTTGTCCTCAAGTCACTGTCAGGTCAAACACCAGGCAGACCAAACTCCCTGTCTGTCCCTGTCCTCAGCTAAAGGAATACAAGACTAACACCATCAGGAAAGCCATTTTAAGACATCACTTGAGATTGAGTTGTTTATTAGTTTAACTGTAGACACTGTTTTGAATATCTTCAACTGTCACAGAGGAAATGTGTTGTGTCGCAGGAAAATAAATACATTGAGGCGCTTTATTTGTTGTAACTTGTTAATTGGATGTGCGATGGTGAGGAGTCAGACTGACTGGTTGACATCCTCTTTTCTGTGTGTGTGTGTGTGTGTGTGTGTGTGTGTGTGTGTGTGTGTGTGTGTGTGTGTGTGTGTGTGTGTGTGTATGTGTATGTGTGTGTGTGTGTGTGTGTGTGTGTGTGTGTGTGTGTGTGTGTGTTTGTGTGTGTGTGTGTGTGTGTGTGTGCGTGCGTGCGTGCATGAGAGCACTTCTGTGTTTGTGTGCATGTGTATCTGTGTGGGTGTGTGTGTGTTAGGTGTGTGTGTTCCCCCACTCAAGCCTCTCATTACAGCTCTCCTCCTGACACCTAGCAGCTCGCCAGCGGCGGCTGGTCCCTTCATTAGAAGAAAAAGCACATAATGCGCTCTCAAGGCCACTCAGGATCACCATGGGCCTCGCACAGACACCAAGGTGGTGTTCCAAATGGCACCCTATTCCCTCATAGTGCACCACATTTAACGCTATGGGCACTATGTAGGGAATAGGGTTCCATTGGGTATGCAACCCAAGAGAACAGCACCAGTTAGCAGGAGAAAAACACACAACACAAACTCGCTAGCTTATTCTGTTCTACACACAGGGAATCACACCCTGACCTCCACAGAGGCGTGTTTGGACTGGAGCCGCTCTTTGACGCGCTAAGAGAGTAGAGCCCATCCACTCCCTAGTGAGATTTCCCACAGAGCTGGCAAATCCCAGCAGGAGATTGAATTAGCGGCGCAGCAGCAATCTCTTTTGCCACCATCGCCTCTGCATCGTATTCCTCTGATGTTGTTGTGGCTGATGTTTACACTGGCATGCCTAAATAAATTAGCCCACACACACCCACCAGTCTTGCACTGTCATTAGTTCACTCACCATTTAATGGCAGTGGCATCAATTAATATGTGCCTGTGTGTGTGTATGAGCATGTGTCTGTGTCTGTGTGTGTACATGGGCATGCACAGTGCACACTTGTATATGTGTGGGTGTGTTTAGGCGGTCACACACATGTATTTGTCTGTGACCCCCCCAGGCATACACTCTTAGATAAAAGGGTTCCAAAAGGGTTCTTCGGCTGTCCCCATAGGATAATCATTTTTGGTTCCAGTTAGAAGAAACCTTTTGGGTTCCATGTAGAACCCTGTGGAAAGCTTCTACATGAAACCCAAAAGGGCTCTACCTGGAACCAAAAAGGGTTCTTCAAAGCGTTCTCTTATGGGGACAGCTGAAGAACCCTTTTGGAACCCTTTTATCTAAGAGTGTATGTTTTTTTTTAGGTTCTAGATAGCACTTTTCTTTCAAAGAGTGTACATGGATCAGCAATTGAGAAATGTGGCAATAACTCACACACACCCAGTGGAGACCCATGGGATGTTGTTCCTTTCAATATTTCATCCCTGGCCGTAGCTGTGCCGTGCAGGGAGGCAGGCAGGAAGATGTCGAGCTAGCTGCTGAGGCAACAATACAGCCCTCACATCTATTTAAGTTCTCGCCTTCAGTCACCAACGGCAATCACCGCACCAGACAGACAGACGGATGGAAGACTCAGGGTGCGTCCCAAAAGGCATCCTATTCCCTACTGATCAAAAGTTGTGCACTATCTGGGGAATAAGGTGCCATTTGGGACGCAGCCTCAGAACCCAGTCTCCCAGCTCCCAGTCCACACATACTCATTAGTGGAAATATAGACACAAACATTCTCACTGTCATATCAATGGAAAAGAGCTGTGCAAAACAAAGTGACATTCTACCAAAGACAATATATGTAGGGAGCTGAAAAATGTGTGCATATGTCTGACAAGATTCCCCCCGGAAAGACTGGCAGCTTTAAATGCGACATGAAAAGATTAGACTCTGCACAGCCAGCAGCCTGGCACATACTGTCGCCAATCACCCGAACAGAACAGAACAGAGAGATGCTGCTTCTGGCTCCTCCTCAAAACGGGGGAAAAACTGAAGATAGTCTGCAGAGTCCTCTGGTTGTCACCTCCCCAAGGTCTTCATTACTTAACGGAGATGATTTAAAGAAGAACTAGAGGATCCAAAGAGAGAGAAAGTCTTTTAAAGCTCATGTGTGGTTGAAGACTTGCAGGCAGCCATCATCATCTGCTTTCAAGGCAGCCAGCTACAGTAACTACTGTAACTGTAGATGATTTATTGAATGGGGAACCATTGACAGGCGGGCAGCAGCTTATTCTTGAGGTAACAGCTTCCTCATACGTCTCATCTTCAATTCAGTTCCCTCTATTCCACAACCCGATAAAGGCACAGGAGCCCAATAATAAACACGGCCGTTAATTAGGTAAAGAGATCATAGTGAGTCATCAAAAATCATTTTCCTTTCCACAATGGCCCCCAAATAGCACCGGAACACTAATGCATTTCAAACCAGTCATTTCAAATCACTCTGGCATTCTGTTTCATCTTTCTTTCTCTGTCCACTGAATAGAGCTAGGGGCTTCAGGGGGCTTCGGGGGGAGATCAATTAAAAACAGTGAGCAGGTTATGTGTTTAATATTCCACATGCCTCGAAAAGCTGGGAAATGTCAGTGGCATGCTAATTAACATCGCAACATCTGTTTAAAGGCTGCCTGCTCAATATATTTTCCAATTTAACCTTCAACAGAATTGGCAGCCTGGTATCTCTGGCCCGACGTCGCTGTTGACTCATTTGACTCCCGAGACCGAGTTCTGTGAATTGGAAATGGTCACTTGGGTATTGTGCCATGCCTTTTTAAAAATGACAAACATGCTTAAACAGTGCAGTGTCATTCTGACTGTCAGACTAAATCGCTGTCAAATCGCTCCTGGGTGGTGAATTCACCTCAATAGAAATGCTATCAAATAAAGCCCACATATCACAGGCTACTATTGCTTGTGATATGACTCTCCACTCTGCTTCAGCTATACAGCTCAGCAACATGAGGTAGAGCTGAGGCAATCTGAAAGGGATGAAAGGACAATACAAACTGCTCTTCAATGCCATACAGAAAGCAAAAATCATAATCAGAAAAATAAAAAAATGTAAGAATTTCAAGATTTTTTCCTCCCTTGACGTGTCGTGTGATTGACTCACTTGGAGACGAGGGAGAAGGCCTCGGCGCACACAGCCGGACAGGCCACTAGCTTGATCATCACATGTTCTGCGGCGGACTGGAAGTGGGCCCGAGCCACCTTCTCCAGCACGGAGGACAGCGTGGTGGCATCTCCAGCCTTGGTGCCAGGGTCTCCCCCTGCCGTATCCAGGATGTTCCCACCATGCATCACCAGCAGCAACACGTGGGTCTTACACTGGGTCTTCTGTAGAGCGAAGGAGAGGAAGGAATGACCAAAGAAGGGTAGGGAGGAAGAAGTAACCAATGAGGGGTAGGGAGGAAGAAAAGAGGTAAGGATGAGGAGGATGTGAGGGGAGAGGAGGGAGAAGTGGGTTAGTGGTATAAGGCAAGAGTCCTGGACCTGCATTCATATATACTATAGATAACAGAGACACAACTCATGAGCAGCCAGAGTAGTTATGCTGGTCATTTATTTATCAGAGTTTATATTGTGATTCTCCTACCTCCATGTCCTCTAACCCGTCAATGCTGCTTTGAGGGACACAGCGAAGACGCCCCAGGCGATACAGGCTCTCTACAGATTTAAGATAGGAGAGATGGGGAGAGAGAGAGAGAGAGAGAGAGAGAGAGAGAGAGAGAGAGAGAGAGAGAGAGAGGAGAGAGAGAGAGAGAGAGGGAGAGAGAGAGAGAGAGGGGGAACGAAAGAGAGAAAGAGAGAATTATAGATACAGAAAGAAGACATAGAGGGAGGAAGAGAGAGAGAAAGGAGGGAGAGACGATGGAGAGAGAGAGAAAAGTCATTACATGAGCCACTTCACACAGATGCACTGATAACGGAATGATTATTGATCCCAGGAGCTAACCAATTTCACTATTACTATTATTCCTTCCATAACTGGGAGATGGCCCCAAATCCTGTATGCCCTTAAGCTCAAATCTCATAAGCACATACTCCAGAAAAGTCAATAGTCACACATCACACAGAATCCTGTCATACAGGCATATGGTTCTGTCACGCCCACCGTAGCTGCCTGGCACTGTCATATTTTGGATCTTGGCTTGTCAGAAACAGTCAAAACAATCCAAATACACGTTGGGATGAAGAGGAAGGACGAAGGAGAGTATTTTTTCTAACCACCTGTATGGTGTGTCTATCTGCATTCCTGTGTGAAGTGTGGCAAGTCATTGGCTCCTGGCCAAACTCATTATCCTCCCTGAAGCCTCTGCATACTCTGTCATCTTATTCCTGAGCTCTTCTCTCTCTTTCTCTCTCTCGGCTCTGTGATTTACTCACTGCTTGTTTATCTGTTCTCCCCCGGCTGGTAATGTTTGCCAGGGGAGGCTTTCATACACTCACAGGCTGTCAGCTCCCAGCCCACAGCCTGTCCTACCCTGCCTGCCTGACATTCTTGCCTGTCTGTCTGCTAGCCTGCCAGCCACTCTGTCTGTGGCCACCTCTTGGCTCCTGCCTGCCTCTCCCTCCAACTCAACACTCAGGAGACCCACTGCACTATTCTGGTCAAAAAGTTAGCTACAGCAAATCAATCGAGAAGTTTCTTTGTAAGAATAACAATGAGAGGTAGCGTTTTTTATTTTTATTGGACCGGTACAGGGAGCACAGTACAAGATTAGTCATACATTTAAAATGAATGTGTGATCAGAGGTTCTCTGCATATTTACAAAGAAGTAAATTAATTGCAACCAATACAAACCTCTCAATTATTCAGTTGCAACATGGAGTAAAATAATGGGTTGAGTGAATCCAACTCACAGTCCCTAGTGATCTTCAATTTGCTTTTAAATTGGTGAACAAATTTTCAATTAGGTACAACCCTGAAAGCTATGTTAAAATATAGCCATTGTAGACAGGAGAGCCTTGCGTGTAAGCGTCATTGAAAGCTGCATACATTACAAGCACAGCTGGAGGACAGCTGGAGGACAGCGTGGTGGCATCTCCAGCCTGGGCTCCTGAGTGGCGCAGTGGTCTAAGGCACTGCATCGCAGTGCTAACTGTGCCACTAGAGATCCTGGTTCGAATCCAGGCTCTGTCGCAGCCGGCCGCGACTGGGAGACTCATGGGCGGTGCACAATTTGTCCAGGGTAGGGGAGGGAATGGCCGGCAGGGATGTAGCTCAGTTGATAGAGCATGGCGTTTGCAACGCCAGGGTTGTGGGTTCAATTCCCACGGGGGGCCAGTATAACAAAATATGTATTCACTAACTGTAAGTCGCTCTGGATAAGAGCATCTGCTAAATTACTAAAATGTAGACAGACAGAAGCCTACTTTACTATAAATAAGAAATGTTTGTTTAATTTTGAAGTGCATTGACGTAATCCTATTTGTGACAGGGAAGCTGAGTGGTGAAAAGTAGTCTCCCGTGGCCCTCTGTAAGCCTCTCCTGCAGCCTGGCAGCCTAGCTAGCGGCAGGGGATCCATTTAGGTTACCAAGGGAGTCTAACTTTCCCTCCCTCTTTCTTATACTTTTTACCTTTATTTTTATCGCTCCCTCACTCTCTCTCACAGCGACATCCCTCTCACGTGTTCTGCCAATCAATGTGTGCATTACAAGGCTCAGAGGTACATAGGGTCACTGGCTGCCTCTCTCACTACACTAATTAATTTACCCAGAAAGCCCAGTCTAGACTCCTCCAAGTCAGGAGCTAAGGGTGCCAGGACTCAGAAGCAACATGTCTGTTGTCACCACCATATCTCAACCACACTCTCAAAGCCGTCACATTCACTTCAGTTTCAGACCCTTGAGTAATTTAATAGTGCAGTAAAAATTTGAAATTTGGTTTGTTTGCTAGTACTAAATGTGGAAATTTTGCATTCAGTAAAATGCTGTATAATAAATTGAATCATGGAAATTGTGTTTTATAGGATAACCATAACCAATCCTAGTTTAATATCTAATAGTGTGAGTAAACTATAAACAAATAAGAATATTCTGGATAATTGAATATCTAAGAGATTTAGAGAGAGCGAGAGAGAGAGAGAGAGAGAGAGAAAGAGAGAGAAAGACAGACAGACAGACAGACAGACAGACAGACAGACAGACAGGGGAGAGAGGAAGCAGTACGGAGAGAGATCAGAAGAGAGAAAGTGGGCGAGAGAGAGAAGCAACGGGAGGAAGGATATTGGCAGTATGTCAGTGCTAGCTAGTGGAGGAAGAATGAACTATTGATTTGCATCCTGAACCCTCGGTGTTGTTCTGTCTTGGCCACTGTGTCTTAGAATGTCATTCCTCCATAAATTCAATGAAACCATTTTGTTGTCCTTCCATGTCTCCTGTCTCTGCCAATTGCAGAGTTCTCGCTCTCTATCCCCTGGTCCCTACAACTACTGCCACAATGACAGATTTCTATCAGCTTAGAGGCAGCAGAGAGAGACTGAGAGAGAGAGAGAGAGAGAGAGAGAGAGAGAGAGAGAGAGAGAGAGAGAGAGAGAGAGAGAGAGAGAGAGAGAGAGAGAGAGAGGAGAGGAGAGAGAGAGAGAGAGAGAGAGAGAGAGAGAGAGAGAAAGAAAGAGCGAGAGAGAGAGAGAGAGAGAAAGAAAGAGCGAGAGAGAGAGAGCCTACTAACATTGCCAAGTTGTTGTGAGGCCACAGACAGAAAGAGTGAGTTTACAGAATACAGATTTCCAATAAAAAGGTTGTACACACTCCAAAATATATTTCCCAAAATATGACACGCAGGGCTATGTAATGTCAGCTCCACTTAGACTGGAGCTGTGAACTGTGAGGCTAACTCTTAGTGAGGCCTCACTGGAGAGGTAGACCCGAGAGAACCTACCCAGAACAACAGTTAACCTCTACGGGATCGGTGTCCCGTATACGGGACGGTTGAGCTAACGTGCGCTAATGTGATTAGCACGACTGTTGTAAGTAACAGAAAACCTTCCAGGACATAGACATGTCTTATATGGGCAGAAAGCTTAAAGTCTTGTTAATCTAACTGCACTGTCCAAATTACAGTAGCTATTACAGTGAAAATATACCATGCTATTGTTTGAGGAGAGTGCACAACAATAGAAAACTTATCACGGCAACTGGTTTGATACATTCACCTTTGCAGGTAAATAATGAACTTACATTCAGTAATCTTGCTCTGATTTGTCATCCTAAGCTTCCCAGAGATAAAATGTAGCATAGTTTTGTTTGATAAAATCCATTTTTATATTCAAATGTAGGAACTGGGTTCTACAGTTTGAAGCCCTGCTGTCTCAAGCTCCACACCCACCCTAGATGTGTGAAAGTTAATGTATAAGCTAATGATCCATCATGTATGACATTCCTGGGAGTGTGTAAACTTACATTTTGTATTACCATATCATTTTTGTATGTTCTCTATAGTTATGTACTTGAAAATGTATCAATTGACCAATTTGGCACATTTGGGCAGACTTGATACAAAATAGTCCAGTATTGCAATGCTTCACTGGATCAATCTGAAAATTTGCACACACACTGCTGCCATCTAGTGGCCAAAATCTAAATTGTGCCTAAACTGCAATATTATATTGTGGCCTTTCTCTTGCATTTGAAAGATGATGGAACAAAAAAATTATCTTTTACCAGATCTAATGTGTTTTATTCTCCTACATTAATTTCACATTTCCACAAACTTCAAATTGTTTCCTTTCAAATGGTATCAAGAATATGCATAACTGCTCCAGGCAGTTAGATTTGGGTATGTCATTTTAGGCGAAATTTTTTTTAAAGGGTCCGATCCTTAAGACGTTAAAGGTGAGCCTTGTTTGACGAATAAGGCCCCCTGTACACTTACTGCTGGAGGGAATGTATTCATTCAATGTGACAACTCACTCACTGCATGTCAACACTGTTTTGCGTAGAGCACTAAGCAGCTTAACTACTTTCACTTAGCTTGGTCCAGCCAGTGAATGCTAGCTATGTACTAGCCTCCCAATACCACAGACAGACACCACAATAGAATCACAATCAATTATAACAAAGTTAGATCCCTCAACGTGATTGCCAGTTTGCCACAGTCAATGAACTGGGTTACGGAGTACATTTTCCAGAGCATGTCGTTGGTAATTACATTTACGTCATTTAGCAGACGCTCTTATCCAGAGCGACTTACAGTTAGTTAGTGCATACATAATTTTTATTTTTTTTCATACCCCCTGTGGGAATCAAACCCACAACCCTGGCGTTGCAAACGCCATGCTCTATCAACTGAGCTACATCCCTGCCGGCCATTCCCTCCCCTCCCCTGGGCCAATTGTGCACCACCCCATGGGTCTCCCGGTCGCGGCCGGCTACAGCAGAGCCTGGATTCGAACCAGGATCTCTAGTGGCACAGCTAGCACTGCGATGCACTGCCTTAGACCACTGCGCCACTCGGGAGACTAGACTTCAAACGAGTTTACATCAGAAAAATGGGTGATGGATAGAAACTGTTAGGAGCCAGTCTGAGTCTGCATCAGAAATGTCACCCTATATGCACTGTCTACTTTTGACTAGGGCCCGCATAGGACTCTGGTCAAAAGTAGTGCACTATCTGAAAAAGGGTGCCATTTCGGACGCTAGTCCTAATGAAAAAGTTTTTAGT